GAAAAAGTTCGGGTAAAATCTTGCAACTTCATTCTCTACACAACTCTACAATAGTCGCTCTCATTTACAGGATTTTGGAGTACGTTAACATTTTTCCTGTAACTTCCTGCAAGTTCGTGTAAAATCCTGTAAGTTCATGGAGTACTGGATCAGAGCTAATATTGATTGTGGATTGGGCTGTGTGGAATGGACCATATTTAAGTCAAAAGCTTTTTTGCTTTTAAATTAATATTTTTCATAAGTGACAATGAAATCAGTTCCACTCATGTGGAAATCGTAGAGCTGTTTGTTTTATAAATATTGACACGGACAAAAAATTTATCAAGAAAGCACAGGATAAGTCTTTCGTTTGACAACGACGGTACAGAACTGATGCCTACGCTTATTATGATTGAAAATGGTCATTTAATTAACAGGTAGCAACCCTAATGAAAACAAAAAATATTAGTGCTTTTATAGAGGCCAATCCCTTTCATTTGACATCTCATTATTTATAATCCAATGAACGGTGCTCTGATGAAAGAAAGGAATACGACCAAAGGATAGAGCATCCTCGACTTGGTTATATCATATTTTTCGTTTTTCAATAAAAATATGTTCACTCATTTAAGAAGGCCAGTACGAGTTAAAGTCCGAAATTCATTTAGAAGTTGAAAAAGGCAGTTCCGAGAAAAAAGTTTCAAATCGAATCTGTAGTAAACATATACAGGTGAAATTTTTGAGGTTTTCATTAAAAACCTTTCCCTCCATTTTAGAGGGGGTGGGCGGGTGGTCTAAGGCACCCTGTAGATATATTTACAAAAAGTGGACGTTTTAACTTTTCAACTAACTTTAACTTTCTAAGCTAACGATATTCGGACCTCGTTGTATTGAAACCTTTATAAATATGTGTTAACCAAGAAAATAATAGAAAATTATTCTAAAAGATTTATATACTGTAAAAGGATTAAACTGTCCAAACAAAGAATGATCCACTTATTGAAGGCAATCCATTGCTTTTGCTCGGCAAACTTGAAAGCGCGCACACATTTTTATACACATACACACACACACTAATTTCATGTTTTATGCACTTTCCCACCACCGCAAATGTTTTTGATACTTTTTGAATGTCCTCTTGACCAAAAGTTTCGAACACACTTTCACATAAATATGTATGTATGTATAAGAGTAAATATATATTTGTTGCCTTAAATCCGCTACGTTAGATTAATGGTCAATTTGCTAACAAAAGCGTTTGAGCAGAATTGCTTTTTCAACACATAAACTACTGAATATTTATGTAGTTTCTTAATCTACTTCCAAACAAGTAAGTGTTTGGTTGCGCTAGTGCGAAAAGACCCCACTATTTTCCTAAGTTTTACTGATCCCCACATATGCATACAAGCCAATTATAACAGAGATTCTAAAATTTTAGTTCACAGAATTCCTTTGTGTATATGCGCTTATACACAATCACATACTCATACTACATATGCATTGTAAACGAACCAGGTAACATTTTTATCACTTGGAATTTTAAATAGGAAAGTATTGTTGACCATACCTTTAAGGTTTATAAAATTTTCCTCGGTCGTACTGCGATAGCTTTTTACATACGTAAGTACATATTTCGTATGTACATATGTATGGTTAGTTTATTAAATATTAGGTTGTAAGCTTAGATAAGATTGCTAGGCCGAGAAAACCGATGTAGACTTTCCAATCCCTGCCCTCTTTACTTTAGAAAGGATAAAAACTTATGCTCCATCTAAGTCTAGCAAATGCCGTGCTACTATAGAGAAAAAGGTCTGCACTATCCTCAACTGCCACGCAAGATGCACTTGTATGAACCTCATTAATATTTGAGCCTAAAATACGGCTCTGGTGTAATTGGATATGCAAAGCCCCAAAATTTGTCAATTTGTCGCTTGTTGAACACAACAGTGTCCCGCCACCCATATCCAGTAGATAATTTCAGCAGTTAAAACCCTTCCGAAAGGCCTTCCCGTGAGTCAAGAGACCTTCCACCCAACATTCCTTTTCACTTCATGTTTTGTATGGAGTGGGTAATGAGGGCATTTTGACGCCATGCGGGTTCACTAGCTGTACATATTTGCCAAAAAGTCGTACCTAAATGTAGATACGCCTACCTAAAAGCAAACATACATATATTTTTTTGTGCAAACATTTTTGATAGTTGGTGGACTGCATCTTCCTTCTGTATCTAAAATAATGTGCTTGTACCAAATGTACGTTCAAATTTAAGAAGCCTGAGAGTAGGTACAATTCTACCTAGTTTTACATCACTATTTCGCATCGCTTCTTCCTCTTATTCTTCAAAATTATTCTTTACACTTTCGTTCAAATAATGAAGTGACGTCACACCCATTTGCTCTCAGCTCGATTGGCACAATGTACTACGTACTGTGTTCAGGGCTGCCAACTAACCTTAGCTATAAAGTGCCATATTGAGGATACGAAGAGCCAAAAATTGCCAAATAGAAAAATAAAAGTGTCGAAAAAGGTGCCTTTCGTTTTCAAATCTTCTCATTTAGCATTAAAGTTAGAACCGCATTCCTAAAACACAAGTCCAATGCCAAAATAAGATAAACCAGCTGTATACACCATAGAAATTAGAAAATTTTAGTTGATAAAAAGAAGAACAAGCAAAGGATTTCACAAAAATTTATTGAAATATTACTATTTTTCAAAAGTGCCATTTTGGTACATTATGCCAAATCGAAAAATTAAGTGCCATTAGAAATAGGGCCAAAAATGGCACGGTTTTAGCAAAGTTGGCAGCCGTGATTATATTCTTGCTGCGCTGCTAGCACTCACGACCACTCCCAAGGCGAATTTGATAAGGTGGTGTTACCGGCGAATCTGAAATGTTCGCCGAGGAGAAAATTACGTCAAAATGATGAGTTTTCTGTAATTCGTACCAATGATAGTATGAATATCTGTGTATAGTTTGTTAGTGTAATTTTTTACTCATATACGGCTAACACTACCTCACTAAATTCGCCTGATCACTCCCGGCTAGCAAACATACTACTGCTCATCAGTCGCCTTGTCGTTGGTCATTCCGATCCGATCTCACCGCAACAACGAACGTAATCCGCCACTCTAGTTATAGCCCCAGGTGTGTGTATGTTCGAATTAAACACACCAGGCTAATGTGTTTTATTTGGTGGGGGTTAGTGCGACCTTCAATGAAAGAATAACAAAATCGGTTATTATTGTCGTCCACCAACTTTAAAAAATTGGTGCAAATGTTAGAAAATTATATTTATTCGTTCACTCCAAATTTTGTAATTTGGAATAAATCGAAGAATTTCTAACTTGGCTCCAAGTAATAAATTTTATGAATTTTCCGGAAAAGTAACAAACATTTATTTTACTTCTAAAGCAGTTCCTGTTTATTCCATTTATAAATTAAAAAACGAAGACATTTAAAATACTAAATTATGTGAATGGTATGCATCTGTAAAGAACAATAGAAGCTTATAACTTTTGACTACGTTAACCGATTTCGATAATTTTTTTTTTTTTAATTTGGTACCTCAAGGATGGTCCCATATTAGTTGGTTTTAGTTTTGCTCAATCGATCATGAAGAAATTAACCTTACTCAAAAATTTGTATATGACTTCAATAGTCGGTTGTATTTTTTGCTTAAAAAAACACAAATTACATGTTGAAGAAAACGCACGAAAAATTTTATACTCACAAAAATAATGTGGAATTTTAAGTGAAACCATCTCATGAATTTCAGAAGATATATTAAAATTTAAAGCATGCTTGGCCACAGATAACATACATACATACATATTAAAGAAAAGGTCATCAATTATACTCGTGGTCAGCTGATTCAACAAACTTTACCAATTTCCCCTAAAAATTTCAATCCTTTTATTTAGAGTTTTTAGAAAAATTTAGATATGCACTTTTTAGCATTAAGGTGCAATTTTCAAGAAGTTAGAAAATAGCCGTTGGTTTTTAATTATTGTTTTGCTGACGGTTCTAGAAAGTGTCGACCGAATTCTTACCTCAATCCACCATAGTTTTAATGCAATTTCATATTCATTAAAGACACAGATATTTAATTTCTACTACCTTATAACAAACCAAACGGGGAATTAAATGCATCTTTAGCAATTTAAAACATTTTCAGTGCACTTTAAGACTATTATTTTACATTCAGTTACCTGAACCTTGCCAAGTCAACTTGCACTAATAGCTGTCAAGTCTCACTTTGTTGCATCATCTCCTAATCTCTATGTCCCGGTGTGTACATATCTGATATCCATTCAAATCTACTCAACTTGAAAAACAACCGCACTGCAGGCTGACATGTGTTTAAATACTATCTTTCCACTTTTCTTTCTTGTCTGCACGTAAATTTTTGTTAGAGTAATGTTTTTGCTTTTGAAAAACATGTATTTGTCCGGAATATATATGTATTTACATATGTATGTGTGTGTGTATGTACACTTGATTATACATACATTCGAGTGTGTCCTGTCCTTGTGGTACTTTATTTAATAGCGCCTGCAGTGAAGCACACTCGATGGGCGCCCTTTAGAAGGATTGGATTGCAGTAAAAATTCAGGTAAAAGAGAAGGATAAAGAGTTACAGGCTTCGATATAACGTATATTTGAGTGCCTGCAGTAGTTGGTGGTGATGCAGGCATATACATGTGTACATATGTAGTATGAGTATACTTCCTTAGAGCACTTAGTATCATGTAATTGCAAGTCAATATGGATGTAACAAATTTAAATGACATTGACCTAGAAACGGGCAGGTTTAGTGCAATGCAATTTTGGGTAATTATTTTTTCTTTTATTTTAAATGTATTTCGAAGGTAGAGCGAAGTTGCGGAATAGCCTTCAAACTACCATACGGAATTTTTAATAGCATTTAAAAAGATATCATTACACCGAACTTTCACTTTAAATATTCAAAAAATTTTCTTATATTTATTTTCCTTCCAGCTAAGCGCCCACCTGTTGAGGAGACCGCTTCATTCCTACAAAGTCTAATCGCTTCGCATGGCCCCAATTATTTGGAGAAGCTGTTCGGCAGTAAGGCTCGTGATGCGCTCGCCCCCTTGGGTGGTGTGGAGAAGGTTGCCATAGCTCTGAGCGAATCGCAGACGATTGAAGATTTTGGCGCAGCATTACATTTAATGAGGTGAGTAATTGAGCGACAGTAAAAGGCAGACGGCGTATAGCTAAAATTAAATGCTCGAATAAGTCGAATAGCCTGAGGGTAATGTGAGCGAATGCAGTAATCGTAATATGAATACACAAACATTTATTAATAAGCCAACACACATACACGCGTGCACACTTGCGTGCACACTAATGCAGCCGACCGCAAAATTATACGCTTCTGCAAACACCAGTAAAAAAAAAGAATTCTCCCAAATGTCTACTCAATTATGCTAGCCTCTTTGACGAAGAATACCTTCCTACGTGTGCCTCCTGGCCGACATGGCGTATGAGTGTTGTTCACGGCAACCTGTCAAATATGACCTTGTAAGTCATTTTGGCCCTTTAATTCAGTAAATGTATCAAAAATATAATGCAAACTAAATAAATTCTGAAGGTTAACTGTTATACGAAGGGCATAAAAGGAGACAGTATACAACAATTTACATATGTACCTACTAAGGCCTTTGGCTTTGTAACGCGGCAACATTTTTATTACAAATTTCAGATGTTTGTGGGCAAAGTTGCTGCTCGCTGCCACAAAATTTATTAACAAAAATAATTATGTATATATAAAATTGCAATCTGCAGGCTTCAGCTTACCAAAGGGCTTTAGTAGATATTGCAATATTATGTTTTATGAAAACAGTGGTAATTTTTGTAAGTGCGTGACCTTGTTGCCCTGTGTTCAAAAAAACAAAAATATTTTTTATTTCACACGCGAGCCATTTTAAATTAATGTCCAAGCTGATACATTGTATGTGGTTGTAATGAAAAGTAATAACAATTTTTGTTTTTATTTCTTATGGTTAAGCAAAAAATGTATCATATATGAATTTTCATATCATGAATGTTGACAAAAAAATAGATGTACCTGAAACTCAAAAGGCCGTAACTAACAAAAAATTCCAAAATTTACTTTTTGATTGTTTGTTATGAATTTCAGCGAAGTACAAGCTCCCACATTGTTTTATGCAAAGCAAAATCTTTTTAGCAAGGGGGTTTTGCATTTCATTTGACCATATCGAGCATTTAATAATACTGTCTTCTTCTTTATTGGCGCTGTAATCGCATAAACAATTTTAACCGAGTCCAAGACAGCACGCCAGTCATTTCACTTCTGTTCTAACTGACCCCATTTGGAAATCCAAGTGAAGCCTAGTCCTTCTCCATCTGGTCTTTCCGAAACAGAGGAGGTCTCCCTCTTGCTCTGTTACAAGCATCGCGACCCGCGTTGAATACTTTCAGAGCTGGAGCGGTGGTCTTAATGATCGGGAAATGTGGTTCCACTGCTCGCGTATGCCGGATTATTGAAAAGTGCTTTCAGAGAGCAGGTGTTCGAGTCGAGTAGCGAATAAATTGGCCGTCTGTTGATATGCGCTGTGTGGCAAATGGCACTGTTCTATTGAAACCGCATAGTGTCCAAGTCTATGTCACATAATAGGTTGCAGAGTTTCAGAACTTTTGATCAATGAGAAAATCATTTTACACTCATAAATTTTTTTTTATCAATTTCAGCATCACATTGAATACCACCAGCCACACATTTTAATTACCAGAAAAACTAGATAGCTAATTATGGCATAACATAAATCACGCATTGTATTTCACTTTATCAAATATATCAAAATAATTTAATTAATTTCTAAAATTACATGGTCAAATATTTCAGACCAAAAAATGTACCGGCGCTTGTATAAAATTACGCTTAAATACTATGTACATTAGTAACGCGTATAAGATAACAAATAAATTAATGTAACTTGATAAGAGCACAGGTCTGGTTGAGAAGTTCAGCAGCATAGTCGGGGAAAAAGCAGTCATCTAACTGCCTGTTGTACATTTGTTTAACACATACTAACATATAAATACATGTGTATGTAATGAGTAAGTATGAACTTGTAATTACCCTGCAGCAAATCAAACTGGTTCAGAACTTGCGCTGAGCTAGCCTGAAAAGGGACGGTACTGGTTCTTCATCTATCCCAACTCAATGCTTGCAACTGTCTTTTTTAACATGGCGATGTCCTACGAAGTGACAATTGTCGCCCTCTGCAGAACTTTTGAACTTGTTCTGAGCTAACTCTGGCTTAGATGGTTCTGGTACAGTTCATATAACAACAGTTCTTAGATAGTTCAAAAAGGGTCACCTCCGGGCTAGAACAAATGTGGTTAGTTTTGAGCTGGTTCTAATAAGTATAGTATAGAGCCTTTTCTTTAAATAAGCACGCATACAATTTTGTAAATAAAAATACTTCATTTTATGTTTAAAGAGCTATTTGTTTTGAACAAATTTACTTTTTGAAGCAAACTGTCTGTCAATTATTCCTTTATTTTCTAAAACCGTTATTCTTAAAAATAATTTATATTTGTTACGTATAATGGGTATTTCTGGGATACCTATAATTAAAAATCTGAACTAAGTCGGGTCAAAAAATGAGAAAAACGATGATATATTGAATGATTTTTGTGATAACTCAGCGTTAAATTGGATTAAATTTATTGAAATGTAATACATAGAATTTCCGGCATCTCATAAGAAATATAGAATTTTGAATATTTACAGTTTTCATGCTAAATATTTTTCGTAAATTTTTTATTTAAGGATGGCTCATAAGTATTATAACATAAACAAATAAATTCACGTTTCTAACTGTGTTGGAAATTTAGTTGAATTCTAGAAACTGTTATAAAAACTTCAATATTTTAAATCAGTTTATGAGTATGCAGTTCTATAGCCCATTAAATTTTAGTATAATTAATCGCGCTGATTTTTTATAACTCTTTTTACGCACGCTCTTGAAGGCATTCTCATATTTAAATATTTTCGTTTAAGATGCAAGATTACACTTTACTACACTAAAATTTGATGGGCTACAAAACAGAATACTCGAAATAGTTCTATCAAGTTTGCAGCACAGTTAGGAATTTGAATTTAAATGGTTTATGGAGTATGAGACATAGTACTTAAATAAAAACTAAACGAAAAATATTTAATATGAAAAACATTGGAAATTAAAAAAAAATCACTGCATAACTACACATTTCGGGTCAAGGCGAATTTATATAAGGTGGTGTTGTTTAATCAGCTGTGTGTAGCGTTTGATTGTCAAAATTTTATATTTTGCTAGTGAGTGAGTGAAAACGTGAAAGTGTTTGCATTTTCTGTCGCCCTTTTTCATTCGGAGAAGAATAGCTGAAATTTGACAATCACCAGCTAAAACAAAAAAAAAAAAAATGCAGATAATTGTTGTATTTGTTGAATCGATACCACCTTATATGAATTCGCCTTGTTTCGGGTGCTTAGTGATACATTTACGTATGTACAGTATCGTTCATATCAATAGCACTCCCATTTCAAAGTGAGATTGTTTACCACTTTTGTTTATTTTTTTAAATCTGATTAAAAAGTCAAACATTTTGATGAAAAATCGTTAAGTTTAACTTTCGTTTTGTATAAAGTTTTAAAACACGGTTAATATTATTTTATTTTAAGCATGATCATTTAAATAATAAAAATAATTTTAAGTCTCAATATATTGTGAATATTTAAAAAATAAATTGTGTACGCAGACCTTTCCTGTCAAGTGTAGCTTAACTAAATTTTATATTTTGCATTAAATTTTATACGTACGTAGATATGTGTAAAAATGACATTAATGTTACCAATAACGACTTTTTTGGAAATATTTTAGCAGTTGCCCCATAAACTATGTAGAGAATTACATATTAAATAAACGAAAACAGTTTGTTATTAGTTTTAGGGTCTAAGAAAATCGAAAAAATATAGTATATTACATTTGTGCATCTTTTGTCAGCTTTCACATGACCAGGATGAGTAACATTGATGACAGCGCAACTAGCAACATATGAGTTTCAACCGTCCAACTCAGCATCCCTTTTTCAGTAGTTCAGAGACAGTTCTGAAATTTGTAGGGCGGAACTAGCGCTTTGACAGACTGTCCCTAATTTTGCTGCAGGGTAATTAAGTTCACATAATAATTACATACATATGTAGTATCTATTTTCATTTGTATGTACACTGTGTAATCAGCCCATAAAAAAAGGAGCTCTTCTTCCACGAGCATAAAGATGCGTATGTATCTAACTGAAAGCTGGCTAACTAATTGAATTGCCTTATACTATGTAGTATTTAGTCGATTAGAAGGATGATGAATTTGATTTTGATGAGTCATAATAATATATCGTTGATTAGTTTATTCTTTAGTTAGCCTCTTGAAAAGCATATGTGATGTGTAAGTACATATAACTGAAGCTAATGAGCCGTTGAAAATGCTAGTAAGCAAAGAATATCGAATCGCGAAAGTAATCATAAAGTAATTCATAGAAAATACGACGATAAGTAGACAAACAACGATTATAATTACATTGAAGTTAATGAGTTGCTCATTGGTTAGCTGGTTTAATGATAAATTTTATTTTAGTTAGTACATACATGCCTGGTAAGCAGTGAAAAAGAAAATAAAGTTGAAAATGTTTATACAAATTTCTTAACATTAATTTTCACTTAGAGTTCACTTAGAGACAAGTGGTTAACTCCACTTTTTATGAAAACTCATATTTTAATACAGGAGGCTAGATAAATCGAAAATGCATGGTTTTGAAAAGGTTAAAATGGTAAAGGTCCTTGTTTTATATTTTCTCGTTTATATTCAACGAAAAGCTAAGCTAAGTCCAAAAAAGCTCCGAAAATACGATAAGGCCAAAATAGTTCGAAATCCTTTAATATATATCGAATCCATCTGATGGTTATGGAGTTTTGCTTTGCTTTAAACAGGCAAAATGTCGTATTCAAAATTTGCGAAACCTCTCCTGTACGATTTTTCAATTGGGACTTAGCAACTTTGCACTCTAAGCTAGCGATAGGTATGTTAGCAAATACCTGGCTTCATTTACGCCGCCCTAAAAGTATTTTGTCGTTGTTTTCAACACAGATATTGTTTGAGAGTGAATTGTAAT